ATCCTTGGGCACGTCCACCAAAGGTGAAAGAATGTACCTTCAGTTTCTTTACATTTCCAACATTTATTATCGGGCACATGGTAGATTTTTGCAAGCTTGACTGGGGTTATGTACCACCTGTATATCATTTTCATAATATTCTCTCTTAAGGCATTACATGCCGTGAATTTCATACCTGTGGTCCACAACTGTTCCCAGTCAGCAAACATAATATTATGTCCAACGTCTTGTGCCCATTTAATCATAGCATGTGTCTTCCTTCTCCCATCAGTGAGGGTACATCTGTTCCACAAACCCCAACTGGTTTCATAATTGTTCCAGATTATTATTATTATTATTATTATTATTATTATTTCTTCTGAGGGATCTCTGGGATCTGTAGTTCAGTGACCAGAGGTAGAAAAATCTAACAGAGAATTCTGAGCAATCTTACCCCAATACAACCAACACTTTAAACTGTACAGTGGTACCTCAGGTTAAGTACTTAATTCGTTCCGGAGGTCTGTTCTTAACCTGAAGCACCACTTTATCTAATGGGGCCTCCCGCTGCCGCCGCTCTGCTGGAGCACGATTTCTGTTCTCATACTGAAGCAAAGTTATTAATCCGAGGTACTATTTTTGGGTTAGTGGAGTCTGTAACCTGAAGCGTATGTAACCTGAGGTACCACTGTATACATTTTATATGGGTAAACAAACTTCATAGCTATGTCTTAAGTTGATCAATCAGTTGGTTAAGCACAATTGGATAAGTGTCATGAATGGATGGGCTCAAAACCACACTAGAAAAAGTTATTGTACTATGGAGAGCTCCAGAAAGCTATAGTGATTGAATATTATTTTTCCTCTTGCAAAATTTGTATCACCCTCTCACACACACGAAGATCACAGACACTACAGACAGCAGTGTAATTGGTGTGAATGCAAAGAAAGGAACCCGGGTCTAACCACAATTCCTCTGGAAGAAGCTGGCACCTTCTCTGCCTGCAGGGAGGTATTATTTAGCCATTTACTACAGATCAAAGACAGTAAGTGTAATTATTTTTAGGAATTAAGTAGGTAATCAGTTTGGAAAACAAAAACACAATTAAAAAAGAAATAAACCTCAGCTCTTGGAGCCTGGAGAATTACTTAGCTGGAATTCTTCCCTGTCTGCTGTTTTATTCTAGTGTTAAATTTAATATTATTAATATAATGTCATAAGCTATTCATGAGATGTCTTAAGCACATGTTACAGAGGCTTCTACTTCATTTGGATGGAAACATTCTCTGCGTATAATATGGTAGATATCTTTAGTATGCTTTTCCTCATAGATTGACTTCTGTGTTGTGGCTCTTAGCAGTAATCAGATCTGAAGATGACCCAGACATATAGTTGTGCATTTGGATTTAGAGTTTGGTGGATTGGAAGTGGGGGGAATTAAATTTTCTGATTCACTCTGCTCTTGTTCTCTGCTTCTCTGCCCTAAACCACTCTTTGTTTTCATATGAGTCTTTTGGGTATATGTATGTTAGGTCAGAGGAGCTCCGGCTTGGTGGCGGCCCTGCTGTCTAATGGGAGCTTCCCTGACTTCATGATTCCATAAACATCCCAGTCAACCCAACGAGCAGCAAAACCAGAAAGTTGGATCGATCCCTTGGCGTGGTGCCATACATGACTGGTGCACTGGATCACAAAGTGAGCCACCTTGCCCTTGAATGGTACCAAGGAGTGATAAGTACAAGATTACTCGGCCTTAAGGCAGAAGGGCCGGTCCAACTCTGTTTTGCAATTGGAATTAGGGAGTCACATCCAAGACCGAAATGAGAGCTTACAAGAAGTGGTTTTCATGGATCAGAGCCAACCCAAGACATTTCTCTGCCTGAAGCAAAGGATATGATTGTGTTCTCTCTCTCCCGTTCTATGACCAGACAGGCGGTTGGATCTTACTTTAACACTGTTGATGGGCCAATGTGGTGGATGTTCCCTGTTGTTGTTCATTGCCACACCATCATTGGTGATAAGGAGAAGATGCTATTGTACATGCCAGGTCAACAGCAGTCAGGTGATAGAAGCGGCCAGTAGGATCCCAATTGGTCCTATAAAGCTATTGACTTGGGTCGCTGCTGCTTAGTTGCCTTGTTTCTCTAGATGCTCAACTTATCTTCCCTAGTGCTGATGCGCTATCCTTCTCTTCAGAGTTTCAAAGCACAACCCAGTGCACATTTACTCAGAAGTAAATCTCATTGTGGTCTCTGAGGCTTACTCTAAGGTAAACGTGTATAAGATTGTAATTGTATTAAGATAGATAGATAGATAGATAGATATAACACCGGTCTTGAAAGTCCTACACTGGCTCCCAGTACGTTTCAGAGCACAATTCAAAGTGTTGGTGCTGACCTTTAAAGCCCTAAACGGCCTTGGTCCAATATACCTGAAGGAGCATCTCCACCCCCATCGTTCTGCCCAGACACTGAGGTCCAGTGCCAAGGGCCTTCTGGCGGTTCCCTCACTGCGAGAAGTGAGGTTACAGGGAACCAGGCAGAGGGCCTTCTCGGTAGTGGTGCCCGCCCTGTGGAACGCCTTCCCACCAGATGTCAAAGAGAACAACAACTATCAGACTTTCAGAAGACATCTGAAGGCAGCCCTGTTTAGGGAAGCTTTTAATGTTTAATAGGTTATTGTATTTTAATATTCTGTTGGAAGCCACCCAGAGTGGCTGGGGAAACCCAGCCAGATGGGCGGGGTATAAATAATAATAAATAATAATAATAATAATAATAATAATAATAATAATTGTTCTCAAAGCCACAAACATGAGTCTGACCAAACTGCGGGAGGTAGTGGAAGACAGGAGTGCCTGGCGTGCTCTGGTACATGGGGGGGGGGTCACAAAGAGTCGGACACGACTAAACGACTAAACAACAACAACAATAATAATAACAATAACAACAACAACAACAACAATGATAGATGATAGATGATAGATGATAGATAGAGAGAGAGAGAGAGATGATAGATAGGCTAGGTTTCACCTAAGTTTTGCTATGGATAGTATCTTTTCCTGGATGTAACAACAATCCAAGTTTGCAATGTGTGTTCCATCACATGAGCGCATGGCACTGCGTCATTTGTGACGCTAATGCAGGAAGTTAGGAAGCGCGACTCCCGCAGCTCTCAAAGCCGGTGGCACTTTCATAGGCCAGCCTTTCATCAAGTAAATTCCTGAATGTTGACCAAACTCTTCCAAAGCCAGGCAGCTAATGGAGCAGGATGCATGTGATACACTTGCCATTACAGAGTCACCGATAAAAATCCTTTCACAGAGGTCCTGTATGAATGGAGATTTTTTTTTTAAAGAAAAATAATTTCTCTTCAGTGGTTTCTTTCATGGCACAAGAAGGGAGGTCATGTGTTTTAGTTTAACTGATACATTCCAATAAAATGATTTTCAAAGGGATAGGACAAATAATGGGTGTTTTACATATGGTGGCTGTGGATGTCAGATGGAGTTAATTTCACTGTAAACAATGTATTTGTTATTCTGAAAGCTGGTTGCAATTCATTTGAGAGGTTTCTTCTCTCTTTTTTTTTTTGGAAAAAATTAAGTTTATCTAACAAACTAATAAAATGCCCTGTGAAGCCTTTATGGCTGTGACAATACGATGACTGATGAGACTATGTTTATTTAGAACAATAAAGATAAAGGTTACTGTCACAGAATGTTCTCTCTCAAGTGCAAAATGGAGATATTTAAAGGCATATCAGCTTGTATTTAAAGGCAAAATACACTATACTAAGAAAAACCGCTTTGCAAAAATGCGTATATTAGGAAAAATTCACATTAAAATGCTGCTGAATTTTAAGGAGGGCTATTTTTTTAGGAAATGCAAATTGATGTGGAAATGTGGAAAAGTGAACTTAAGATTGGAAAAATGAGTCCTGGTGGTGACTTTACACTGTGCTCAAGGCCTTGCAATAATTCTATTGTAACTTACCTGTAATGTGTTACTGCTCTTGTTTATAAAACTTAATATGTTAGAATTTTATAAAATGAAAAAATGCAAAAAACTGAAATCGAGAGATCTTCCCTTCCTTAGCTGTGGCCATTCGCCACATCGTATCAGCAGTTGCCTATGATATGTGGCTGATAAATGGTGAAGTGGGCAGTAAGCTTCTTGATGTTTCTCTCCAGCAGAGAATAGCTAAACTTACAGCCCCTTTGACTGGCTGGCTGGTTGCTCAAGATTTTAATTAGTGCTCACTTCCACTTTACAAGTAATCTCCTTAATCTTATGAAACACAGAGGTGCTGTTTCTTAGACTCAGACCTCTCTCTCTCTCTCACACACACACACACACACGCAAACAATTCCCACTGATAAAATGCATTTTCTATTATATATAAATACTATGTTTTTTGCTCCTAATGTACACATTTTTGTGCAGTTAGTATTTTTGGCTGGAGAACTCCAGCACAAAAGTTGAAGGCATGTGAATTTTGAAGGACAAGTGGGTTTTGGTTCACATTTTGTTTAGGATGTGTGAATTAGACGGACCTGATTCTCTCTCTCTCTCTCTCTCTCTCTCTCTCCCTCCACACACGCACACACACACACACACACACACATTTGCTACCTATCTCGAATTTTTGCTACCAACCATGATTTTAACCCAATGATACCAATCGTGCAATTTTTATTTGATAGTATCACAAGGCTCAGTGATGTATAATCAGCCTTTCGGGACAAGTTTCAGCCTCTGCTCTCTGTGTGTGGCGACTTCCTTTCTCTCTCTGTTCCCGGACACCACTGACAGGCAGGCATTGTCCCTTCAGCGAGCTCTGCGATATTACTTTGACCCCGTCCCATCAATCTGTCTCAATTGGATAATGATCTGTAATCGCTTGCTTTCAGGGGAGTCTATAAATTTGCCAAGGCCCCTTTTCTCCTCTGAAGGACTCCTTATGTTCGCTCCCAATTGTGGAAGCGCTCTCTCTTTCACAGCGCTAAATAGCCACGCACATGGTACATTCTGTTCAGGGGCGCCCGGCTGTTGTTCGCTGTCGATTTTCCATGGGCTCTTGCACTCGAAAGGCGAGGCTAAGCATGACATGCCGGCACTCAGTGGGGAAGCTGGCCCAAGTTGCGCCACTTCAAGAGCAGCCACTTTTCTCATTAAGGATGACCCGTCATTAGGCCGCTTTGTATGGGCCCGCTCATCGATGAGCTGACCATGTAGTGCTTGGAAAATAAAAGAAGCTATTAAGAAGGAGAGCGCTGGGGTGGAGTGGAGGGAAATGAGGACATCAAAACCAAGTTAATGGAGAATTCTGACCTTTATTTGTGGTCTTTCGGCCCAAAGGCAACATTAACAGGGACGCTTCGAGGAAGCTAGCAACAGTCAAACCCTACTGTGCTTAATTCCTCAACCATTCACAGGCCTGATCCTTCATTTAGTTGCCCCACCAGATCAAATGAGCAAAAAGTGGAGTGGCTGGGAAGAAGCTTATGTCCTTCCTTTGTTCCCTGGGCCTTCTCCTTTCTCATTAACAGGGATCAGGAAGCCTTGTGAGGACCACTTGGGGGGAGAAGTCTGGGGATCACAATAACCCATACATATGTACACCACCATAGAGCATTGTGGGTGTTTTAAAACAATCCTTCCAAAACAGATTAGTCAGCTTTAAAAGACAGGGATTTAAACTGTTATTGGGAAGCATTTGGTCTGACTTTATTTGCATAGTAAATAATATAAATAACAAAATTATTATTCACAACTTTTAGAAGATGTCTATAGGCAGCCCTGTATCAGGAAGTTTTTTTTTTTTTAAATGCCTGATGTTTTATTAAGTTTTCATATGTGCTGGAAGCTGCCCAGAGTGGCTGGGGAAACTGAGCCAGATGGGCGGGGTATAAATGTTGTTGTTGTTGTTGTTGTCGTTAGACTGATAATCTGATCCTATGTTATCAAAAAAATTTCAATTGTGCCTTCAATCCACTAAATAATAAATTGCCTTCAGCTGCCACAATCCCTTTAAGTACAGTCCCTTTGACTTAAGTACAGTTGCCCCCTTTCATTTCCAAGTTGCAGCCTTAGGCAGTGGGTAAGCCTTGTTTATGGGAGGGGAGGTTGTTGCCTCCGCCTGCCCCTCCTCGTTAAGGGTATCCCATTAAGGGAATCCAGGGGTGTGGTTCCTGTCCGAAGCCTGGGCGTGGGCTAGGGCCATGCCATGACCCTATATCATAGGGCTATATCACAGGGCTCCCCCTGTCGGTGGTTGACCCTTTACAGACTTCCTGCAGATAGGCAGGAAATAGTCTGGCTTCACCCAAATGCCTAAGCCCAACCGCTCACATCTATAATCAATAAAGTTGTGGCCTATTTTATCCCATAAACCCAACATATTCATGTCTGTGTGTTTATTTCGGGGGGGGGGGACTGTGGGGCCTGGGGCCTTGCCATGCAAGTACAGTTGCCTCCTTTCATTTCCAATTTGCAGCCTTATTCCCCCCCTATTGAATCAGCATCTCATAAGATTAAGCATGAGGGTTTCCACCAGAAGAGGATGGTCCCTTAGAGGGAATGAGGCACTCCCCCCGCAACCTCAGCCTGGTCTCACCTACCTGTCTTTTTACTTGCATCCTGTCCATTGGGTAGCAGTCCACTGTCAGCTTCCTCTTCCTGGGTGTCAGTGTTGCCCTTGTACAGCTCAGCAGGGAGAGAGATGGGGACTAGAATTGGCTCTGGTGCCACCTACTGTTTGGCTCCCTACATGCTGCCCTACCAGGACCAATAATCACCACTGGTTTCAACATTCATGCAAAGCCAAAACTAGTGCCCTTCCACCACAGTTTGGACTCAGTCATGGTAGAAGTCAGTGTTATTTATTCTTTGGCAGCTGTTCTTTGGTGGCCCAGTTCTGCTTCCCAAGGGCTGCTGTTACACTGCTCTTCAGGGCCAGATCTTCTCATGCTTCCGAATGCAGCCTCCTTTGTTGCATTATGGGTATGCAAGAGCCTCAGTTGCTTCCACCAATTGTAAATATATGCTGGCCAATGGTAATCAAGGGTTACTTAGGGCAGTATGCCATGAAGTGCAAATGCTGTGTGTGCGCGCACACACACAAATCTGTAATGGGTTTCCACCCCTGAACAGTTTGGGGGAGGGCATGGGGGGCACATGGGCAGAGGAGAGGGCGGGGAATTGTGATTGTGGAAGCAGAAGTCCTGGTGATCCCGGGGTGCCAACTGGAATAAAATATTGGAGGAACCATGTAACACCCCCCCCCCCGCATAATCCACCACAAGACACAGCACGCACACACCATTTGAATGGCAACTTCCATCAATGGGGGGGTCAGCCTCCTCAAATATTTAATAGGAGGGCTGAAGGGATCTCAGCCCCTAGGAGTTGACTTCCATGTTGTGATCACAGAAGCTCATTGTTGGATACTGTCCATATTTATTTCCTTATTAATCCCAACCTAAATCCATAATTCCTTCCCCAAAACTACTGGTCTTGGATGGATGGTGGAAAGACCCACCTGGCCTGAAAGTCTGTTACCACAGTGGTCAACTAGATGCCCACAGGAAAGGCAGTATGCTTCCAGTTGCTGCAAACCACAGGAGAGAAGAGTGCTATTGCATTCTGGTTCTGCTTGGGGGCTTCCCATAGGCAGCATGTGAGACCATGGCCAGATGGGCCACTGGTCTGATCCAGCAGGCTCTTCTTACTTTCTAAATGTCAGTGGTGTAGCATGGAGAGGTCAGAGGGCCATGGCCCCAGGAGCAAATTTATGAGGGGGTGCAACCAGGTGCCCCCACAACAGGCTCCCGCCTTGAGGCTGGAGCCTCAGGGAAGCAAGTCATATCTGGGCCAGGCCTTTATGACTGCAGTGGAAGCAGTGCCTCCTCCGCTGGCCGGCGAAGGGATGACCGTGCATGCCCCATCCCTGGGCTAGCTGAGAGGAAGAGAAACATGGGGAAGCCCTATTGTAGCCACGTGCAGGAGACCACAAGGTGGTCCCATGGCTTTGTGTTTCTCTGCCTTATCTCTGCTCCCAGGTTGGGGCTAGTTTGAAAGGAAAGGCTCCCTTGATTAGATGCTGGCTCTTGAAGGGACTGAGCACTGCCCAGTCCACCAGGGGTGCAACACCTGCACTGCCCCGGGCTCCAGCAACCCATGCTACATGCTGAATGTGCATACATGTCAGTGCTTCTCTATGCAAGGAGTGCTTACATTACACGCTACCTTATTGCATGGTGGAAAGAGAGAGAGAAAGAAAGAGAGCATGTGCCTGTCTGCTCCTCCACCATGTGAAGCAAGATCCACAGCCAAGAGAGTGCATGAACCAGCCCTTTGTATAAGTCCCTTCTGAGATGAATCAAAGCGCTGAGATACCCACTTCAAAACAACATCTGTCTGATGCGTTGTCCTCAGCCAGCATTCCTTTGCAGGCGCTCTGCTTTCCCATGGGGTTTCCTATTGCTGTCAGAGGCAAGCCAGCCAGGCCTCCTTTGACTCAAACCAGAGCTGCCTTGCGGTCCGTTTCTAGTTGGTGGCCAGAGCTCTGGACAAGATGCGTGCTCTGCCATGACTTTGTTTTCATTACCGCCAGGATTATGAATGATAAGCATCTCGGAGGTAATTTGTTTCCACTGTGTTAAAAATTCCATTGGAAAGTCGCCTCCCATTGTAACTATTAAACGCCTAATTGATATCACGTAACAAAAAGGAGCCTTTTTTATTTTTTAAAGCTTTTCTGAATTCTCAGGAGCCCTAAATGAGCTGTAGTAGAAACTGAGGCCGTTGCTATTTCAAAACTCTGTTGTTGCCTTCCAGTCATTCATCGTCGCTGTGAACACATGGGAAAAGCTCTTCTTTGAAAATAGCCTATAAGGGATCCATATCCTAGAGAGATGGAGAGAGAATCCAGTAACATTTGAAATCAGTAATAACTTATGAACAAATGGGAGGGGCAAGATGCGGATATTATCTATATATTTGTTTTCAAAGTCAATGCTGGCTTTGAATAATTACAATATAAATTACCATATTTATCTCCCTCAGAATCACCAAATCTAAGTTGTTTTTCATTTGTAGAAGGCACAAACCAGAAAAGTTGCACACCTTGTCCTTGGATTGCCTAACAGGTATCAGGTGATCTGTTTCTGCTTCTGGGGGATATTCACCAAAGTGGATATATCTCACTTCATCATTTGGACCCAGTCTGGCAAATTCTTCTGGAGAAACCCATGAGATATCCAACAAAAGCACAGAAATTGCGAGAAAATAGTTGTTTTGCCATTCTACTCCCAGAATCAGACTGAGGCAAAAGAACAAAACCTGAGGTAAAGAAAGACTTGGAAATGCCTGTTGCTATTGACTGAGAGATCTCTGACTTCACTAAATTGAAATAAGTCAACCATCACCATTTGTTCACCTGTGGTAGCAGACAGTGTAGTTTGGTGAAACTGCGGCTCACTTGACCTTTGATCAGTCACACTGCTGATGCTTACTAGGAGGCGGAGGCAGGGAGGTTGGTTTGTGCAAACACACCAGCGGAACAAATCCAGTACTAACCACTGGTGCGTTGGCACCATGCAGACCTTGCCACCACTTTGTCCCTCCCCCTCCTCCTCCTGGTGAGCAACGGCAACATGACTGATTGAAGAGCAGGTTACTGTTAGCACCTCACCATGCCATCAGTTACTGTTCAAAATGGCAGGGAGACTGGTGCAGTGAAAACTCAATGGTAGGAACACCTAATGGACTCTGCTGGTGCATATGCACTGCACCAACCTGCCTGCTATCTCCTGCCCTCCTTACTGACAAGCAATAGTGACCTACCTGTTGGGAAATCATTCATTCATCCATTCATTCATCCATCCATTTTATTTGTATGCTGCTAACACACACACACGCATGTTCAAAGTAGCTTAGAATGAAGAAATGGATGCATTTCAAACAAACACTACAAAAACAATTTCATAATAACACAACAAAACAACAAAAACCACATTTTGATGCTATAAATATAACAAGATTACTTAAAGAGCATGCAGCACCCGTTAGCAAAAAATAGCAGGGAGCATCACAGTTTCACCTTAGTCCTAGGAACCCCCCCCCCCCATGTTGCTCTGTGTCCCTGTCTGTCCATGCAAGCTCCCTATGTACTTGGGTCTTTCTGTGGACAACCTGAAATTGTGTTTTCTACAACCGAGTCCCTGATTAAATATGT